AAAATCTAAATGGTTATTCTTAGCTGCGCCGGGATTTAAACAAACTCGTGATCTTCTCCACTCAACACGAAGGTTAGACATTAGACCTCACTTAGTGGTACGTGGGATCGAACACACGACTTCTTCGTGGCCTATCCTCTATCCAGGAACCCCATCTTCTGAGATCCATTTTCAAACTACTGTCTCTTTTGGCTATAGATCTTGTTGTGCACTGTGCACGAGGTAGGATATGCTTATCCCTTATTTTTGAAGCGCACGTGTCTAACAAATGCATACCATTTTCCATTTGAAGGATAGGCATGAGATGTTTGCACAATGTGCTTTATCTGTTGGAAGACCAGTATTCTCCATAGAGCATACTACTAATATCTATATATTCCCGGCCAATGACCATTCAGTAGGCTCAATGACCAAGCACGCGCCAGCAATTTCGCTTAACAAAAGTTTCGTAAATATGATATCACTTACAGGCCAGTCCATACATATCGGTACATGTCAACGACACTTGGGGTAAGAGGTTCTAATCCAACCCTTTGAAATTACTCATAGGTCAGTCCATACATAACGGTACTTGTCAACGACACTGGGGGTAGGTGGTTATAGGCCAACCCTTTATTTAATCTGACCTTGGGGATAGTAGCTCATTGATCTTAGTGTTGTCGATGTTATATAAACTTTTTATAAATGTATTCTCGGCGGTGACACTTAAAAGTTAAATTCAACCCTTTGGTCAACGATCAATGGTGAACATTAAAACTAAATGTTCGAAGATAAGAAAGAATTATTTTAATAAGTCACATCTGGACAAAGAGAGAGAGAGAGAGAGAGAGAGAGAGTGAGAGATGGGGTTTAACGTCCACTCGACACAAACTAGGTCATTTCGCGACTAACATATGGTTTTAATTTTATTTCACTAATTCACTTGCGCCTAGTGGTCTTTAGCAGTGGGAGGAAACCGGAGGACCCGGAGAAAACCCACGAGGTTGGACAGGCGACCCTACTCCTTGTCACGTACAACCGGGGATTCGAAACCACGCCAGTCGACTCAATGACAGACTTTATGATACAGCGCGCGCACGCTAACCATTCAGCCATCCACCCCCCCTTGGACAAAAATAAGAAAGTAAAATCAACTAATAGATACATTTAAGAATAGTATCCCATTTGGAATTAGTATAACTTATTATTGGTAATTCTATGGAAAAGGTATCCGGTGATTTAAGCTAGCGTGTCATATCACATTTTAGTTCAAATCAAAATTATCCACCACCAGAATATGTCTGCATTCTATAAGTGGGCGACCTGCATGTATCTTTAAGAATTTCAGACTAGTTTACAGAATATCTTAATCTAAATATATATATACCCTTTATGTGGGCGGAAAGTCTCTGATCAGCCAACAGGGTCGGCAAAAACTAGCCAAGAGGTCAGGTCTGTTCGGATGTTGTTCGAGTTTTTCGGGATTTAACAGCCCTTTTTCTCATTGTCAATGATGCCGGAGAACCTGCTGTCTCGCTCGGCTTACCCTGAATGTTTAAATTATTCAATATTGAATTTAGTCAAGATATGGTATGACAAACGCGAGTCTCGTGTGCACTATGGACGTAAAATAACCCTTTAGAGTTGGAATTCATCATAGCACACTGTATGTCGTATGCCGGTTTTTGTTATATTAGCCCAGATGCTCCGTTAAATCCCATTTCATTTCCAACTTGCTGTATGTGTATTTATCAATTTAAATCAACAATGAGACGATCATTATCAGTTATTTCATCTGTGTACAAATAGATTTGTATTTGTTGATTTTATTTATTAGGGTGTATTATTTTATATCACACTCTCTGGGTCGACTGGTAAGCGAATGTACTCTAGAGTAACATGTTCCGGGTTCGAGCACCGATGTAACGCCTAGGCAACTAAAAAGAAAGCAAACGTGTTCAATCGTTTGAATGGGACGTAGAACCATTTTTCTCAACGTAAAGTTAGAATTCAAACAAAAGCAGAAATGAAATGAAATGAAATGGTGTTTAACGTCCTGCTGTTTTGCTCCGAAATGGGCTAATGAAGACGGGCATACGCCCGCCATACAGTGTGCTTTGAGGGACATTTTGCACGGACAACGGCACTACGGCCTACTCTTATATCGAATTCCAACTGTCAAGGGATCTATTAAGAGCACGCCAATGTGTACACAGGACCTTGTTTTTTTCGTATCATCCGAACGACTAGACTGCTGTCCTTGTCAGGCCCTCCGTCCTGTATCACTGCCAAGGGGGGAACCACGACGGAAAATCTGGATGAACTTTCTCGGCCAATGCAGGGATCGAACACCCGACCCCCATGCTAGCGAGCCAGCGTCTTACCACTTAGCCACCGTGACCCCGCAAACAAAAGCAAAATGTTAAAATTTTCCCATCACGCATTTAAACATACTTAATAAAAAAATAACTGCAGGGTTGTCCCAAATGCCTAGGTAAATTGTTGGCAAGTCATTAAACTCGTTTTTCATTCTGTGTCGTAAATATTACTCAGCATTTTGCAGAACTTACGCTGGTTTAAAACTGACAACGATGTGTAGACTTCTGCAAGTTTGAATCTTTAAGACAGGACGCGAATGGGGGTGAGGGAGAGAGTACCCTGAATATATAGCTCTCGTTATCACAATTTTACAAGGACTCTGTAGATAAACATGACATTGCCAGAAGGCCAAAACGTTTAATCTATGACCTCGTGATCTAAATAATGATTACAACTTAATTGCTATTGTCCGACCCCTGCCTTTAAGTTGTCTCTGCTCCATTACACACGAACATTTAGTTTGGAACGCCATTTAACTGTAAAAAAAACTTCTTAGAAGTTGACCTAAGATGGGATCCGTATGTGGGTGTAATTTCCAATAAAACCATAAAAAGCAATTCTGAAATTTCAAACCCCAGTGCCCCTGTTGGTGTATTTTATGTTCAAATTTTTACGTGTGTTGAGATGAACTGACAAGTTCATTAGACATGAACAGAACTTACAAATTCGGTAGACGTAAGAAGAATTTACAAGTTCCGTAGACATGAGAAGAACTTACAAGTTCTGTAGACATGAGAAGAAGTGTATTTCTATAGTCCTTCTAAACACCATAGAAAAACAAACTATTACCTTTATCCCAAATCAAACTAATTCAATGAACAAATTATTGCTTCTGAAACACAGTTTAGTGTCCACTTGACACAAACTAGGTCATTTCAGGACTAACACAGTTCTATATTTTTATTTCAATAATTTGCTTGCGCGTAGGGGTTTTAGTAGTAGGAGGAAACTGGAGGACCAGGAGAAAGTCCACGAGGGTCCGTAAAAGCGGAAGTAAGATCATTCAAATAAGCCCCCCCCCCCCCCTGAATCTAGGTGCAATAATGTAAATATATGTAATAATTGTTCTAATAAAAGTTTTGGGTCGTAAAGCTATGCATAATAACACGGCAAAATGTGTGGAAGCGGGTTTATTACTAAACACACGACATCGGCCAGATTCCAACTTCCAATCTCCAGGCTTGAGAATTAAGACATTGAAAGATACCTAAGAATTAACTAAATCTACAGTTGAGTTTTTCATCCTTTCAAAGAGGTTCCGTCATTTAAATATTCGGTATGTTTTCCACCCAATTAACTCATAATGGCAAACCGTTTAGAATCACACGAGCACAAAATAATGAGTTACTCATGTTGAAAGAATAGAAAGTAAGGTCGTAGACCTTACAATGTCCTCTGTTACCGGTCAAATCTGTTTTACTGACGTAATATGTGAGCTAATGTGATGTATAATTGACCAGTAATTTGCTTTTATAGTAGCAATGAATGGAATGGGATGAGGTTTAACGTCCTACTTCCGTACTTGCCAGGATAATGGAGACGGGTTTTATAGTAGCATGACCTATACAAGTCATACCAATTAAACGTTACACACAGAACATTTACATAGAAATTGTTATATCGATAATCAATCCGGGGTTAGATTTGGGGTTGTAAAATACGGAAATTAAAAATTTCCAATTATATACGCAAACCCATTCCCGAGAAATGTGCGTTTGTTTCAGAAATACGTCAAGTGTTCCTTTGTACAATGGAATTTGGACAGGGGGGTGATTATTGTCCAATAAATGTTCCTAACAATCCATTAAACACGATAAGGTAAAATGGTTGGAGGCAGAGCATACCAGCTACAATTATAGATTATGATAGTTTAAGGTATATTCTAACGATTATGTTTTAATTATTACTGAGTCTTACGGAAAAATTACACTTTTGCTCGAAAAAATCTTTTTAAACACAATTTGGGAAAGGGAAGCAGAGGATTCAGCAGCACCACCACCCCCTCCCCCTCGGCCAGTCGTTTAATACAACTATTAGGCCTTCTGAAGTTCGGATTTTGGTCATTCATCTGGTATAAATATTGAGATGCCATGATCAAAGAAGAACCCATCAGATCATGAAAATAAACGTAGAGAGATTTTACGATCGAAAATAAATTGAAATTAATTAAATCATCATCATCATCATCATCGTCATCATCATCATCTTTTTATCACCTTTTAAACGTCATATATTTTTTATATTTTTATATTTAGTTGACTATCACGGCGTGGTTGTTTCTCAAAATTTGACACTATGTAAGAAGGGAGTGAATATTAGCTATAGGCGTCAGTGATTATAAACTGATAGCTAATTCTAGTCTTAATTCTAAGTGATTTGCATATAGGATAAATGAAGTACAAATGATTGTACGTAAGCAACAAGGGTCGATAGCGAAATAAAACAAACTAGGTATTTAAACACTGGAGGCTGAACTCACCCGAGCGAAGCTGTTTCGTTTATCGAGATAGACTGAGGCGAAACATTACATCTTTAACAAAAGAACAACCCACTATCTACCAAATAGATCAGAGAAGGTCCTTATCAGTTACGAATTATAAATTTTCCGTCAGAGGTTAAAGGGGCATCGATCCTTAACATGGTATATAAAAAGATCACGCTTTAATTTAGTTTATTTAGGGTCTAGCCTCCAATATTAGATGTGGTCTTAGCAATATTGTCAGATAGGAGAGACTTCTACTTTTCCTTTCTTAAGTTTTGTGTGGAATTTAACAACTTAAGGTAAGTTTATGATATTAATTTAAATCGTTGATTTTAAATTTATTTTGTAATTCAATAACTAAATACCATTTTAAAACGTAGTTCACTAAATGTTTTTCATCTTAAAAAACAATCAAGTTTTAGGTGGGGGGGGGGTTTATTTGTAAAATAATAATGTTTTAATATTTGACATTTTATATCTTTGCCTCATGATTTAAATTGTATAGTTTAAGATAATAATTTAATTACAAAAAAGGGAAATCGTTATATTAAAATATTCCAGTTATGGAGTTCGATATTTCATCTGTTTTCAATAATTAGATGACAGTAGCATTTGTTTTTTCTTTCTTTTTGTCCCGTCTTCATTTGTCCAGTCAGAGTAGAACAGTAGGACGTTAAACCCCACATCATTTCATTTCGTTTTTCTTTTTGCGTAATCTTTTAATATAATCCAAACAAATGATAAGGTTGTCTACAAATGAAAGCTACACGATAAACCTTAATTGACTCGATATCTAAATGTCAAATCTTTGTTGTTGTAAAGATGTGATGGATACGACAAGTAAGAAACTTCCAATGATCAAAATTAGTCATTTCTGTAATAAAGCAGTAATTGTAAACATTTACTTAAATCTCACACCCTTACTTAAATAAAGAGAACGAGGTGTTAAACTTTGAAGGAAAAACTTTTGACATATCGGAGTCTATTACTTCCAGGACTTTAACATGGCTTTTAAATATTATTCAATTGTTTGTAGTCACGATTGTCATTCTTATAAATAAAAACATCGTTAAGATGACACACGCTGAACTTTCGATTTCATTCATCCAGTTCATGTGTATTATTGAATTTCTGATCTATAACTCACAGATAACGCCTTGTGGTTAATGCGGGCAAAGGATGAGGATAAGGCACAGTTTATATGATATCGGTTTATTTCACCGGTGATGTAACAGCTTTCTTTAATCCCATTTATTGTTTATGCGTCAGGATGAAGACCACTTATAATTTCGCTACACTGAGGTAGAACGATTTCCCTTTTCAATGACGCGCTTGTACATATGAGTATTTAGCAGGGAAAAAAACGGGGAACTTGGGCGAAACCCCCGGGCCTAGTAGTCTTGCGACCCTACCCCTTGTTACACACGAGCCTAGAATCGTTAGACAACTCGGCCACCTAGGTATATACTTGAATAACGATACACTTTAAAACAAGTGTCGAGCAAACCCCCCCCAAAAAACAACTACTACAAAGCGTAAAAGTCATAATATTGTTTGAGATAAACAATAGGTTACATAATGCAAAGAGGATGCACATCCTTTCCTAATTTCATTAACAAGATGTTCTGTTGAAATCACAAAATAGTTTTTTTTAATAAGTGAAAAATGATGGTAAGGGAATTGTAAAACGCAATAAAAAAAGGGTTTCTGAACTAATGTGTACCTTACTAAGTGATTTACAACTTCCTTCTAAAGTCAATACTAGTCAGAATAACAGTGATAAGGTTTCTCAATAAATATATATCAAGTATATTAAAGGAGACTTTTTTTTATCTCAATAAAGTATAGAATACGGTTGGTGCATGATGATTCTTAAATACGGGTTATTTAGTCCACGATAGTATTAGTGTCTTTCTTTCGTCACGTTCTTAATAAAGTGGGAGCCACTGGTTCACTAACCCACTGCTAGACGGTGGTAAAGAAATGCGTTCATTGGAATTCGATGAATTTCCCTCATCATGGCGTTCAGATGGTACGAAAACCCAAGCCTCGTGTTTTCCCCTACAAGCACATGAAAGATTCCCAAATTGTTGGAAACCGAAATAAGAGTAGATCACAGTGCCACTTATGAATTCTATAATCGTTTGGAAATAAATCATCATACGGAAACGACCCGCGCGTAAAGCTGAATTACGTTTTCCATACAAAGTTGAAAATATTATACACTTTTGATTCATTATGAATGAAATGCCATTAGAGACCTTTAAGTTTACTTTAATGTACTTCTGTTATATTAATAATTTACATTGAGTTGAGGTTAACAGTTCGCTTGTGACGGAAATCCCATAATGGATGGTCTGCAATATTACTTAAAGAATTTTTCGCTTTATTTTCGCCTAAAAAACGGGAACCGTTATCAAGTCAAAAATGAGTGAGCAATCCTTTGCCTGTATATCCTACTTACAACAAAAGCTACACGTGATTTAACTTTTTACCCAGTCGTGTATTATATTATCTCCTTTATGCAATATCGAGTCAGTGAACCTGTTGTAGGTTGTGGTGAAATAGTTTTATAATCTTTGCATAAAGTTAAGATTAAAGTAGCTAAGTTTCTAACTCAATATCATTTAAAGTCTTCGACATTGAAAACACGAATTATTGATGTTGTGATCTTACCGGGAAAAGATGGGTTCCTGATATCCAATATTTAAGACAAAATAAACATTTTACCATTGGTACACAAATCGTGTACCAGAATGCGTTTTAGCGCCATTTGTAACAAGAGACCCGAAGAACGAGGCTAGAAATATTCAAGAAGTCATGTCAAACGGTGACACACATTCTTATCTGGAGAGCATGGCAATATGTTGGATTGTTTGCATGCAGTTCGAGGGGTGTAAGTCTGTAATAGACTTGTAATATAAAAGTACATATTATGCCATCTGGTCAAAACATTGCACACAAAAAAAACCAAGAATAAAACTGACAAGTAAGTTATGTCTGTTTGCGCCTGGCATATTTGATTTCCCACTTTGCTGTAGGTTAGAGTTACTACATGTTTTAGTACCCTTGACTCTCTTTTTTACCCCCTATGTTTGATTTGATACTGATCTGTAGGTTCGAGTTTCTATATGTTCTAAGTACATTTAAACTCCCGATTAACTCTCTTTTTGTATCTTGCCTATTTGATTTTCCACTGTTGTGTAGAGTAGATGTTTTTAGTATAATGATCAGAATAAAGTTGATATTCCCGAGTAACTCTCTATTTTGTACCTTGAATATTTGATTTTCCACTACACGGCTTACTATATTGATTTACATGTAGGTACGTTTAAATTCTCAGTTAACGTTTTATTGTCCTTGGATATGAATTTTCACTGGTTTGTAGGGTAGAGGTACGATATGTGTTTAATATATTGATCTCGGTACATTTATATACGCTATTCGGTGTAGGTTTTGGGGTATAATTCATTAATAACATAGTATCGACACAAACGATTCCTATGCCTGTATATCCTACTTACAACAAAAGCTACACGTGATTTAACTTTTTACCCAGTCGTGTATTATATTATCTCCTTTATGCAATATCGAGTCAGTGAACCTGTTGTAGGTTGTGGTGAAATAGTTTTTTTAATCTTTGCATAAAGTTAAGATTAAAGTAGCTAAGTTTCTAACTCAATATCATTTAAAGTCTTCGACATTGAAAACACGAATTATTGATGTTGTGATCTTACCGGGAAAAGATGGGTTCCTGATATCCAATATTTAAGACAAAATAAACATTTTACCATTGGTACACAAATCGTGTACCAGAATGCGTTTTAGCGCCATTTGTAACAAGAGACCCGAAGAACGAGGCTAGAAATATTCAAGAAGTCATGTCAAACGGTGACACACATTCTTATCTGGAGAGCATGCGCAATAAATACCATCGGTGTAGACTGGAGATTGCCATTCGATTGGGACTTCTGGCGTATTTCACCGAACATAACTGATTGAAATTAGAGAAAAAACCGAATGCAAATCAGTTTATATACATACATATTACATCATTATATGCGTGTGACCCATTTGTGTCAATTTCTAGGTCCCATATATTAGCGATTTAGCTCCTTTAAAATGTGTTAGTCATGCAAATAGCGCATTATAAACATACTATTATAATTATTCCCAACTCAATGTTGTTGAGAACGTGTGGGGTAATTCACAATGAAATAGAAGCCACGTTGTTCAATTATTACTCCATTCTCCCAATACATTTACCGCCTGTGCTTCGAAAACAGATGGCCTCTTCGCCTGTATGAATGAATACGTTAAATAGTACAAAGTGAGTTATTCACGACAGTTCCATAATTTAATTGTTTAATTCAGCGTGACCCGCAACCAATTGTGATGTTAACACACACGCCGCAAAACTAGGGGCTATATTTCAAAATCTTTCCAAGACCTATAAAAAGAAATGGGCAAGATATAATATCCATGTTTCTCACCTTATTGTATTTCTACTTATAGAGACGCCGTTCCAGACAAACTTTGTCCAGAAATATGAATTTGAGAGCAAAACTTAAAAAACCGTGCTATTTCGCAGTCTTATAAAAAGAGATATTAAGCACTGCTTCTTCAGCCCCATGAAAATTATCTTCGAGTATGATGTCAAATAATGTGATATGATGCAGCTAAAATATGTTAGCATATCCTCACAAAACAAGATTTAATGGAGATCAACTCATTCCATATGACCTATAGACAAACCACGTGTTGCGCCTAATGGAGATCAAGTCAACCCCCTTTAAGTTTTGTATTTGATTTGTAGTTTTCATGCGTCCAATGATATTAAATGAAGGAGATCAAGTCATTTCCCTTTAAGTTTCGATATGATCTGTAGTTTGTATACACAAAACACGCAATGTGCCTAATGAAAATCAGATCATCCCTCCTATAAGTTTTTGTATGATTTGAAGTTTTTATGCACAAAACAGGCTGTGTGCATGTTCAGGTCATTAACCGTTTAAGTTTCTAAATGATTTGTTAGATTTTATACACAAAACACGCGGTGTGCTTAATGATTTATTTTAAAAATGGAGATCACGTCAATCCCCTTTAGGTTTCTATATGATCCGTATTTTGGATACACAAAACACTCGGTTCGCCAATGGAGATCAAATCATTCCCCTTTAAGATTCTATATGACATGTAGTTTTTATACACGAAACACGCGGTGAGCTAATGATAGTTAATTATGACTAAAGGCTGTTGTTAGACAACGGTTGTTAGATATTAACAAGCTGGTGTTTGT